GGTTTAGTGTTGATGAATATGACATGTGACCATTAATGATGTTGATTTTATCTCCTGAGATTAGCATGATTTACTTCGGATGGATAATAATGTCATTTGCTTGATGCAGTAGATCTGTTTACGAGCTGATTAAATTGTAAGGCCTTGCTTCATTTCATGCTATTTGGTTTACAGCTTCATTACTGCAATCACAAAAGCTGTGGAAATGTCCCACATCCCGTGTCACAATAAATCATTGTTTAAGATTGCAGCTATGTATTTTAGCATTTCAGTTTTGCATGGACCGTGCATTCCTTAACAAATATGTGATTGGGAATACATTAACAAGATATTCTGGAACATACTGCTGCAGAAATGTAGAAAATCAGCCTGGATCTTTTAATTGAGATTAAGGAAGCACTTGAGTAATTAGCTGTAACAAATTACCTTATTATTTAGACAGTGAAGTAAATGTTTTTGTTGCAAGAATGATTATCATAAATCTGTAGAAAAGTGACAGTCAAACAACCATAAAGGAAACTTGTAAGCAAACTACATTTTCTGCCTATTACCTTTTACATTTAAATAAAATTTATCAGAGACATACTCTAAAAAGAATGTATTTGCTGTTTAGGGATAGTATATGTTACAAGCTATACCATCTGTAACTACTGCACAAGGAAGAGTTTATGCGTGTAAATCACAGAGAAAAAAGAATCTATTAATTATAATGGCAAATGCTAATGTTGCCGTAGTTAAGGCTGTGTCAATGTTTTCATTATAAACCCAGTTATAAAGGAAGAAGGGGAGAGGGAGGGTGGTAATCAGCCATCTGAGGTTGCTGTATGCTAAAATTTTGTGTGGAAAAGGGCACACTGAGCTCTCACACCATGTAAACCAGAAGTATCTGTGAAACTATGCTTGCAGTCCCAGTGAGAGGAGGACCAGGACCAAGCTCTCAGACTGGGAACAAGGGTGGCTTTTTTGTTGCAATAATTTTTTGACATTTCACATAGGATATTGCTACTTTTATTGTGCAAATGAAAAAAAATGCTATATTTATCAGTCAAAAGGGGCCATTCAGAGCTTGGTTCATGTGTTTAATGAAAGTTTTTTATAAATTTGAAAAGGATGCTTAAATAATTACCTTAAATTGCATATTTTATTGTAATAAAAATGGAATTTCTTTGAGCTCTTTCTCCTTCCTTCTTTGTTTTCACACACACACACACACACCCCTTCAAGCTGGTTCCCAGTGGATTTCATGGAAGCATCTCGAGTTACTTTGCATATGAATTCTGATGGCTTATCATATGGTCAAATGTGAATATGAACTCTATAATGGATTTGTGAACGTTTTTTCCTTAGCTTTTACCTAGCAAAACCTCACTCGCCACCTCCAAACATTTCAGTTGTGAAAAACCAAGAGGAACTGTATTCATGTAATCATATACATGTACTTGAACGATATTCTAGATCAGGCTTAGAGTATCAAAGGATTTCCAAATGTGTTACAGCAACGACCATGATCAATATTTTTCACAAATTATTCATGACTTGGCTATTCTGGTCACCCAACCAGATACATTTTGAAAAGACTGCTTTTTTTCTTGTTTGTTTTTAATGGCTGATGAATGAAACATCCTGGAAAGCGGATTCTTTCAGAAGAGTTCATGATGTGGATTTGGAAAGAGGAGACAACTCCAGTGTTTCCAACTCAGTTCTGTTTGGTGGTTTGGGGACAGATTTACCAACCTGATTTAGTTTTCTAATATATTGTGGCTGCTGGGCATAGATCTACCACCTTTGACTTTTTGCAGAGACAGTCCCAGTTGACACTAGTAGAGTTAATGAAAATGTTTCACATGTTAGAATGTTGATGTTTCCAGCAACGTTTCAACTAAACAAATGAAAACAATGATAAACATTTTCTCCTGTTTTCCAAATAGGTCTAGACCTCAGTTAATGAAAATATATCCTTGAAAATAAATGGATGAATAGGTTTATTTTTCACCAAAAAAAAAAATTAACTGCTGGGGCAAAAAGAAAAAGTAAAAAGAGAAAACCACACTTTCAGTCTTCATTGCTTCAGAAAACATTTGGCAATAGACTGCATCCCTGCTTGAGCTACCTGAAATGTTTTTACTACAGTTTCACAGTTTTACGTTTTATAACTTTGAAATTAAATAAAACAAAGGCTTCCGCTTGTGATGATCTGCAACTTTTGACAGTAATTTGGTTTCTGGCCAAAAAGAAAATGCAAAGGAATAATTTTTCAGGGTGCAGATTCACTGATATTCCTGTTGGAACTAAAGGAATGCCCTTGAAAATCCCAACTGCTGGCTTTACTACAAATATATAATTTCACCATTCACCTGCCAGTGATGGTTAATTTAATGTAATTTATGCATAGAAGAAAATCCCTTCCTAGCACTATGAGGTGCAGAGGCTATCAGCTGAGTTGGTGAAGCAATGGTGGTTTTTTGGAAAGAACCACCTTTAAGCTGAATAGCTGAAGTCATCTCTATGAACTTTAGTAACCACTATTCATATTATCAAGGACAAAAGTATAATGGACATAGAATTTCTTAGTTTCCTTACAAGCTGCCCTCTACCATTCCTCAGACTCATAATGTTTGGGGAATGTATTTAGAGACAACTAATGAATTCTGTCTGATGCTTTGAGGTTGTTTTTCTGAAAATGGTGGCACGGTGTAACGCATATGTATCTACCTTACTGATAAAGGTGCTACCATGATAGGAATGAAGAGACTATTTTATCTTCATAACTGAACCCTGAATAATCAACTTATGCATTCAGAAAGTTGATGGCTGCTGGAAGATTCTTCATTAATCTTCTCTGCAGGTACTTCCGAATATGACAATTTTTGAAGTAGGACAGAAAGAAGTAAAAGAGGGATTTAAAATAATTGGGATGGATGTAATTAAAGAAGTTGATTCTCTGAGTGGAAGAGGGGAAAACCTTTGCAATATTTTGCAATGGGGGAATTGATTTAGTTGCAGGTCAGTTCACTGATAAAGGAAGCAAGCTAATCTGAAAATAATAATAATTAGAAAAAAGAAAGAAAGAAAAAAGAAGGCCTACAGTAGAAGGATCCTGGGCAGCTTTAGGCCAAAGAATTTGCCAGACTGGTGTTGAAACTCAGGAGAATAAACTATATGTCTGGCTTTGGATCTTATTCTTCTACATAGAATATTCTTAAATCTCAGGCAAGTTCTAAATTGTATATTCCAGGTCATCCACATAGCTGGAGCTCTTGGAAAGCGGTATTTTGAAAGACGGCACTGCTTGTGAGAACTTATAACTAGACTGCAGAATTCCAGATAGAAAGTTGAATTTAGCAATGTGCTGGCACTGTTTTCTGTTTGAACACTAATCCTAACAGGGATATTTTCCCAAATTTAGGCCACTAAGAGGAAGCACTGAATTTGCCTTGAGCAAACAATTTCTGTTCTTTCATGAACTTGCTGATGTCAGCAGAGTTGGGCAGGCATGTACTGGGACCAAATTTTCTTTAAGAGGTTCTTAAGAAATCAGAAAACCCTAAATCCTTGGCTGTTCTAGAAGGCATCCAAACGGGTGCTGAGGAGGATCAAAGTTGTAAGCAAAGAAAATCTACAAGGCAGGATGTATGCACATATTATACAGGCATTATGTCCATTGTGAGCTTCTTTATGGTGTTTAGAGAGACTGCTTGATGGCACTTACATAAGTGAGTTCTGAGCAGCTTTAGGAATCAGAACCATGTGTTTTCTGAAGACAGGTTCCTAAAAGATATCTTGATGGATTTCAGGATGAGAAAATCTCTATGCTGGTGCAGTCTGATTTTCTGTATTACCAGGGCAATAGAACTTCGAGGAGCTCCTGCATTAAGTGCAACTATGTTTGATTCAGCTAGCTAAAGAACACTGAGAGAAATTGGGGCAGACAATTTGTTATTTTATCCCTTCATACAGCTCAAAAATAGGTTTTGCAAAAAGCAATTGTACCTCTTTCAATTATTGCATTACCTCTAACACAGGCTGCTGTAGTCAAGCCTTTTAATGAACAAATTTTGTAGAATTTAGGGTCTCTCAAGTGCAAAGCCACAACAGAGTGTGGTTCTTAATGTGCCATATGAGCATTATGTTGCTTGCTTTCTCTGTCAAAGCTGGCATGTATCAGAGTGCAATAAAAGAAAAACTATTTCATTCAAAATTAAATGGTGACATCCAATTAAATACTCAAGTCTGAAACCATAAAATCTATTGAAAGTTTCTTTCTGTTTTAGAGGAAATGTTCCAATTGCTAATGGAAGAGTTACACTAAATGACTGTCTACTAGTTAACTATTATGTGTTCTAGCAGGATTTGTGGTTGGATTTTTTGTCATTCTTTCTCCTCAGAAGATTTGGAGAAAAGAACAGAAAACTATTGAAAAGGTTTGCTTAGACTTCTATCTTTTGAATCAGTGTCATACCAACAAAAAGATGTTTTGAAGTCTTTAACCATTAATTGACTAACTGGTTTTCTTTAGACATAAAACTTGTCAAGGCCTTGATTGTTGTGAATCCATGGTGATACATTCTGGCTGACTGCCTGAAGTACAAGGTCTCTGAACACTAGGATAATACTTTCTGAAACAATATAGGTTGATCCCCCATAATGTCATTTAAACAAACTTAAATGACTAAAGCTTTCATTTTTGTGCATTCTCTATGAGGTACTATTTGAGCGAAGAGGCCTTTTAGAAACAATCCCTAAATGACAAAATTTGACCTTTACCTGGCCTTAGATTTCTCAATTCTTTTTTATTTACACAAAATAAGCCAATACTAACTGCATTAAAAATTCACTATAAGCAGAAATCTTGTTATATACTCTCTTTTCCTTTATCTTTAGATAATTGCCCATGCATGTTAGTTAATAAGCTTGTTTTATATGAAAAGAATAAAAAGGTTCAGGCGAAAAGTTAACAGTTGACATTCTTTTTGTTGCAGTGCAACTTTACTGGAGAGATGCCCCTGGGATGGTTTTCTTAAACTTAGAGTTCTGGACATACTCAGAATTACGCATCCATCTCTACAGAATAGCATTGTGCATTTTCCACCTCTCTTTCACTGGTAAAATGACTTGGGCTTGAGTGGAAGTAGTATGTCAGCATTAAATAACATACAGGAGTGACAAAACTGTAGTCTTAACACTTTTTGCAGGGAATGTGACAACTCTGGAATGACTTTCATCTCTATGAATTCTTCAAACATCAGAAGGTAAGAAAGTTCTTGACATCTAATGAGCTTTGAATGGTCCACACAAAATAAGATTGTGATAATATTCTACTCCGTAGTTGTCAAGGTCCTCAGGGCTCTAATAGGTCTTAATGGCCCTTACCAGATTCACCCATGATCTCCTCGACTCCTCCCCACAGGCCCTGGAGTTCTCTCAATCACTGCCTGAGCTAGACCACCTGAGTCCCAGTCACCAGCCTGGCCAGCTTTGATAAGTCAAATATCTTCATCAATAGCACTTGAATATCTGATACTGAAAATGGTATGCAGGTCTTGTTTCACTCAAAGGCACTGAGTACCATTCAACATAAAGGTGCGGTGTCAGGCTAACTACTTTATCTGGACAAGATGAGACTTTCTGAATAACAGTATTTCTTGCCATTGCAGAATCAAGTCTACTGAGAGCATACACCGGAAAGCTTAACTACACGGCTGCAGAAAAGTAAAAGAGGGTGTTTTTGAAGGAAAAATGGTGCACCCAATGATGCCTCTAGGATGCTGTAATGTACAGTGATTTTTATGTTATTTTGGTGTGCTGCATCTGTAGAGCTGAAAATTAGATGCAGAGTGAAAATTACTACTGAGAAAAGGCTCAAGGCCCAGCACCAACAAGAATAAAGCACCTGCCACCACTGAAATAAAGGATGTGTAATCCTTTTGGGGCTGTACACATGATCTCCGCAATGAATGGTAACCTGTGTGAAGCAATAATGAAGGAATGATCTGTTCTGTTGTAGCATACTGTTTATTTACTGTTGTTTTTTCTAATGTTATAAAATAGTCTGAACATTATGAAACTTTTCTGATATAACTTCATGGATCTTCCTTTTTACCCAAGCTCTTATACCTTATTTCACAATTAAGCCAATTTATTAACAATAAAAAAGTATTGAAATACCAAATATTGTAATGAAAACCATTACAAGAATTCCTTCCACCAGTAATAAAAAAGAAAATTGAATAGGTATGTGTTAAAGAAATATTTATATCGGGCAACACAGTCCCACTGGTAGCAGTAGTGGAGAGCTGAGTGGCTGCATGGTAATTAGTGAGAACCAGGAGTGGCTGCACAAGTTTATGGACTTGTTCCTCATCTGTCAGTCACTGCATGGCTATGTGAAGGACTATCCACAGTTATCCATGTATTTTAAAGCAGGATTCAGCAATTTATATCAGTAGGAGAGTAGGGTAATCCTCCAGCTGCTGTCAGTTCTGCCCCTTCATCTCTGGTTTAGGATCAGAGAACAAAAGGGCTGCAGTTTCATCCCCATTTTCTCACTTCTTTCCCTCTTTAATGGTTTTCAGTTCCTCACTGAATAAAAGGTGCTGGTTCAATCTGTATTACAAGTATTTATGCACTTCTTGCCACAGATCATCCAAGAAAAATTTCTCCTCTTGGTTCCCCATCTGCTCTCCAGTAATCTGAGTATTTATCTCAGGCCTGTCTAAGGTAGAAAGTTCTACCAAAGCAAGGAAAGAACAAGTATTTTTTATCATTGGAAATATAGAAAAAAGGCCTTTCTACACTAAGCAGCTTACAGGGCCAAAAGTTAGTAATTTTACATAATTAATAAGTCTTTATTTCATCTCTATTCATTCACTTGTTCAAAAGATCTTTCAGGCCAGTTTACTAACTCACAGGCAGACCAGTAATTATTGTAGATTTAAGATACTTAAAACCAAAAACCTGTCAGGCCTGACAGTTGCACAAGCAGATCAGAAGAAAGGGCTGACACATTACTACTTTTTCAGATTAGCAAAACCTTGGATGCAGGCTTCCCTCCATCATTTCTAAAATGATGCTAATCCCTAGACCTAAGGTTTTGCAATTTTGTTGCTGGACAGCACCTATACTAAAAGGATTTTCCATTGCTGCTGCCTGCTTAGCAGATTAGTTACAGGAGGGGACTCTACCGAACAGGCTATGCTCGACCTACACAGAATTCCCAGCTGTCCAAAGATTTTCATGTTTAGAAAATTCTTGATTTGCCTGTGAGACTGCAGGCTCTGAGCTGATTGAGGGGTGACAAAGGAGAAGGTAGGAAATTCTTAGTCCTTTCAACAGAGGAAGGAAATAGATAATTTTTAGAACTGCTTTTGTCTCTTTATTATGCAGGATTTGATGCTGAAATTTTTAGTTCTCTCAGACCAAAGACTTCTTTTGCCATTTCTTGCACAAGATTTCATACAGAGCACAGTTGTGGATGTCCCCCCTGAAATGACACTTTCTGCTCTATTCACAACAGAGGGCAATCAGAACTTGCATCTGATTCTCCATCCTCCTAGCAGTTCATGGAAACATCCAGCCAGAGACTACTGACACACAGACAGCTGGAAGATACAGTACCTTATACAGAGAAGGAATATGGGAGTAAGTAAACAGAAGGGGCAGAAATCCTCACCGTTAGGGAGCTGTGGAACTGACACTGAAAGACTGTGAAGTCAGTATTTCCCAAGAATGAGAGAACATGAGTTCAAGCCACACATAAATCCAGATTTCAGACAGGTAAGACTCTGGATTACATGAAATTCGTGCAGAAAGTACAGGAAATCTACAGTGATTTCATGGATTTAAAATCTGTTCTCAATCAAACTGAGACAAATCAGTTTAAAAAAAAAAAAACAACACACAACAAAACCCAAATCTTGAAGGAATTCCACAAATCCTGAATGAAAATGGTTTTTAAAATTCAAGTTTATTACTGTACTGGAAAATTATTTCAGGCTGAGGCAGGCTGTGAATTTAATGGTAACAGCCCTACAAAACTATTCTGCATATAGAAGCTTATCACATAACATGATTGCCTTATTCTAGTTTGTATTCTAGAAAAAGCATGTCTGCACAAGGAGTTATTCAGTAAGAATGCTGCTTTTATTCTTGAATAATTCCACGTGCAGTCAAGCTTTTAGTCAAATCAGCACAGCTCTGTATGTGGATAAATTGTCAGTCTACCCCTGCTTGCATTTACAGGAAACTTATCTGTTACTAAAGACAGCTGACAGATCTGAAAACGTCACATTTATTTGCAGAATAAGCATAGATCTTACAATCCCCCACCCTTAATAACCTACCATTTTTTGTGTCCTTTGGAGATTTTACGAGCTGCATATCCTTCATATTTTGTGTTCAGTGTCATTAGCAAACTAAATACTATGGAGAGAAGGAAAACCTTTTTCTTGCTTTGCTTGCTGAATAGCCAAAAAGGAGCCCTGTTGACTGTTACAATGCTCCACCAGTTTTATACAAAAGTCCAGAAGAAGAAAGCAATGTTGTTTTTCTTTTGGGGAAAACCAAACAAGCATCAAAACTTTGTTCTAATTCAGTTAAAAAAAAAAAAGCCCCAACCAACCAAACAAAAAAATCCACATTTTAAACCTTCTAAACATAAAGTCTTTCCTTTCCTCACGTGGTCTAAGTATTTGTGTCTGTCACCTGTGTTTGCCTAGTTCTGTCATGAGTGCCGTCTCAAAGCCTTAATAAAACATTAATGTCCAAGCCCCAGAACTCCACTGTTACATTTCTATCATTTATCTCTGTTACTGTTTTTAGCTGCAGTTTCCTTTCAGAAAAGTAAAATAGCAAGCTATATATTTCAAGGAAGACACAAGATTAACGAGTGTATACAGTTGTGAAATGATGATGATGATCTAAAATACCAGTAGAAAGTCTTCATATTTAGTTAAAATTATTCATTTTCTACTTTGTGAAGGTTTTGTACCTCTCCTTGAATATTCTTCTCTAATACAGAGTTTAACAATTCAAGTACAGACCAGGTGGCCTTACTATCATCTTTCTGTGAGTAAATAAGTTTATCTTTTAATTGCACCTAAAAGTTGCTACTACCAAACGACTACTTTTTAGCTCGCTACAGGTCAGTACTATTATCACATTTATAGTATATGTGCTATGGACAGGAGTCCGCATCCCTGTTTAGCATCACAGCAGACTATAGATATCAGGCATTACACAAACATTCAGTGATAACATTTTTCACAAGCATCCAAGCCCAGGACCAATTGGTTTTCTTACTGGGAAGGTCATTTTATATTTCTGAAATAGGATCAGTGAACAAGATAATGCCACCATTTAGATATGGTTTTGTTCTTTAAATATGTATCGTCAGCCTTAGCAATTACTGACTATTCTGGCAATAACATAAAGATACATTTAGGAATGGTGCAACCCACACTTGTGTCACTTTTCTTGCACAAGTATTAAATTCAGAGAACATCAGCCCCACAGTATTCAAGGTAAAAACTGCCTGGGAAAAGAGTAATTACTAACATCTAGCTGACTCTCATTTGTATATGTGGGATTTTCAGCACGGGTGCAATCCAAAGGACTCTTTCTTCACCCTAACAAACACAGAGTTCCTTAGCTGGCTGGAGCCAGAGAACTACCAAGCACGTGGGGTGTTTAGACCTGGAGTTCTCCTCAGGCCTGTTATGTCAGCAGCACTTTATTCACTACATAAAATGCCCGCTCCTACACACACTGGCTTTAAAAGCAAGGCTGAAACAATTCCTGCAGCCTCACGTGCTGTCTGAAGCGGCCTGCACAGGGCTGACAGACACTGCTGGCAGCTAGGGCCCAGAGGGGCTGGGTGGGATTTTTCCACCAGGGCCTGCAGCTCCTTGTCCCAGCAGCAGCCGCTCCCAGCCCCTCAGGTGGATTCTAGAAGGATCCCCAGCCTCCCCTCAGGGGGAGTTGTGCTCCCTAATGAAATCACACAGGTTACCAGTGTCCATCCCCAGCATGGGGTGCTGAGTAACACTAACTGGGCAAATTGAGAGGAACTGTGTGATTCAACTCGCTCACCTGAGAAAAATCAACCTTTGTCACACTTTCTTCCCTTTAAAAGGGGTAAAATGGCTGCCAAGAGGTATCATTGTGGGTAGCTGTGTTTGGCTGCATGGGAAATGAGAAGCAGGAGCTATTTTCTGTTACTAGAAATACATATAGTAACAAGCAGGTGCTGAGCTGTGGCTGGGTTGCTCCGGGTCTGGCTCTCTGCTCTTCCTGGAGCCTCGGCCAGGGGTTGTATGGCCATGGAGGAAGGACCTCGCACGATGAGCGGCAGGGAGTGCATGTGAGAGCTGCAAGCAGGTCAGTGACTAAGCAGAAATTAGATTGCTTGTTTCCTCTGAGGAATTTTTGTTGTCACATTAACTTATTTCTAAACCTTTTTAAAATATGAGTCTAGAAAAATCCTTTCAGAAATTGTTGTCCCCTTAAGTTGTCTTTGGTTCAAACATTACCCCCTTTGCTACTGAAGGAAAACTTTCTTTGTAAAGTGCTATTGTCCTTTAAAGGATTTTGCATTTGATATCAAAGTAGCCTTTAGGTTCTTTGCTACTTATGTATCTTGCACTATATTATATCATTTTAAGAAGGAATTGGTTTTGGCAGGATTGTTTTCTTCAAAAATAAAAATGTTGATTTGTTTGACTTAAAATTGTATGGGTTTGCTAATAATTCATTTTCTACAGGAAAAAGTAATAGCTTGTCAGGGTGGCTTTCCCCTTCAGATGGGAGCTTTGTAGTTGTTCTTTATATACAGTGTGGTTGGCTCTAACTGGTTGATTTGTGATTTACATCTGTTGTTAAAAAAACAAACTGGGCTTCTTAAGTGTTAGATGGAAAATGCAGTTTTTGAACTATTGGCTAACTGTTAGTGTCATGCAGTTCTTTCTATTACAAGAATGTTATTTAATTGTTTAATCATGGTAGTTTTAATCCTATCTACCAACTTCTCCATTGCACGGCTTTAGAACATGAAAGCATTTGCTGGGTTACGTAGTTCTTCCCTCTATCTCCCCTCTCTTCCCTCAGCTATCACATCAGGTAATTCTTTTTAAGTGTGTTGTACTCCATGATTCTACTCCATCTTAATAACAATTGCGTAGTTTGTTTCCACTATTCCCAGAGGATGGCTGTTGCAGAATGTGATTGCTTTTACAGCATTGCTGGTGAACCATTTGTCATTGGTACTGACTTAGGATCTAAATTCAAAAACAATGAGCTAGCATCATATACTTAAAAAACAAACCAGGAAAAAAAAACAAACCAAAGCCTTGAGCCAGTTATCATAAGGGTTCATCACCAGTGCTCTGTTGGTTAAGAACTATCTTCTAATTTCAATTTTAGTTTATTCATGGCCAGCTAAAGTCTATTTGCTCTTATGCCAAAATTCGCTTTTAAATTAAATAGGAGTGCTTTTTTCTCTTGGCTTTTTAACTAATGCAGACAGCAATCCTATCCTCTCTCAGCTTTTGTTATAGTAGACTAAATAAATCAAGCTTGCTTAATCTCATTTTATAAAGTAAGCATTCTATTACCCTAATCTTCCTAGTATTGTTTCTTTTCTACCTGTTCTAGTTTCAGTTACTGTTTCAAGTGCAGGTGACAGGACTGCATGCAGTATTTCAGGTGGGCACTCACCAGTGCTTGACACAATGCTATTGCTTTTCCTTGTCTCTGCTGGAAGTTACCCTAGTTGCCTTACCCTGGTAATCCATAGTAGTTGTGTTTTCACAGAGTTCACAGAGCCTCCTTATTAATATTGAGCAATTACACCAATTAGGCTTTTTTAAGCCCAGAATGCTATGGTTGGTTTGGTTGTTGTGGGGAGTTGTTTCTTTTTCTTTTTTTTTTTGGGGGGGGGGGGGAGGCGGGAGGAGGTGGGTGTTTGGTTTTCTTGTTGGTTTTGTTGTTGTTTCCATCTGTGAAAGTTTAGTGTGTTGTGCTCTACTTTGTATAATCCCAGAACATATCTTCTAAGGTGGGTTTTTTTTTTCTGTGCTACCTTCAACTTGTCAATGCAAAGTTTTGGCTATTAATTGAAATTACTTAAATCAGAATGATAAACATACCAATGTCAGGCATACTCTTTCGCTTCTTAAAATAGCCTTCATTTTGTGCCAATTTTGTTTTGGTTATAGTTGGTAGAAAGTCCTTGCTGCTGTTGTAGTCTCATATTCTAAGGGTCTGAGCTGGAGCGGAGATTAACTAGATTCCTAGAATTGAGAGCTATACCAGATTTTATTTTATTTCTACTTCACCTGATTTTCATTCTCTAAAAATCATTCCTATTAGCTATTTCCCTTTCACCCCATGCTCAATATTGCCATTTTTACTTAAATTAATGCAATGTATAAATTTGACGTTGGGAATGTGCTTGCATTATCCTTAGTCTCTACTGCATTCCTTTCTTTAATTTTATTTAACTGGAAAAAAAAAAACAACAACCAAAAAGAACATCCCTACATATTCATCCATATTAGCATTTTTGCAATGCCTAACATAGCTCCTCTGTTGGCAATTCTTTGCCTGTGTGCGTCTCAGATAAGGACTGAATACCAGAGAAAAGGGTTTTTTCACCTGTGTTACTTCTGTTTCTTTTTTTGCATGGAACACATTTCTTGAGGTGGTAGTTTATCTGGTTAGGCCTGGAGTACCTTCTTCTGGAATTCTTTTTCCAATGTTTGAAATATAGATTTTTGACCATTTTAATTTTCTTGATGTCAAGCGTTTGTAAGATTTTGCTCCCTAGCCAGTTTATTAGCTCCACAGTCCAGCTGACATTACTACATCAGAGTCTGCCCTTTTGAAACTGGAACCTTTAA